ATACAACTGTACCTAAGGAAACTTTCTTGGAAGGGACAAGAGAACAGCTCTGGACGGTCATGTTGAAACGCAGACCATGCAGACTGCAGACTGTGCAGACAGAGTGTTATTTTTTTACTTGTACCTTAATTTTCTAGTAAAATTTTTACTATAGTTTCCCGCTTCCTCTCATTATGTGCACTGTGCATCACTATCATATGTGCACCGATGTGTACCTGCAAGGGTCACGGCTAAGAAATGGGAAAATCGGGAGCTCATGTTTACCGGAAGATGTAAAGGCAGTTTCACGCGCTTTTAGCTGGGCCGCTTTCATGCAGGAGCAAGCACAATGGAGGAAGGTAAGCTGATTCTTTCTGTAATTGTATTATATTGCCACGATTTTTTAAATCTTTTTTAGTAGAAGAAGTTTTTTCAGGTTAAGTGACTTAAAATAAAACCCTTCCTACAATGGCTACGAGAGAGACATTTCCTCAATTTCGTTGATTGTTGATGATTGCCTTGTTTGGTTTCCCTCTGTAATTCAAACCGGTGACTTGCTGCCATTTCTTCAAATCTTACAGATACCGATGTCGTCGTTGTTAGCTCGGAATTTCAAACCGAGACGTTTGAGAGATGGGCCTTGCTTTAAGATGTGTAAATAAATCAACGGTATATCTACCTTAGAAATATTCTGATTTCCTCGTATTTGGCGGTTCCGTAAACGTCAGAATTAAGAGGAGAAGGGCAGCAACTTTAACTTCTCAGAGATAATATTCAATGAAAATTAAGACAAAATATGTCTAAAATACACAGTGCATTCAAGCCCCCTCCACATCTTCGAGTTGTACAAATAATACATTTGTTACTAATGAACTATTTAGTTTGGGAACTGCATAAACAAGAACCATGATACTCGGACAAGATTGTCGCTTTCAAACCACTACCACTTATTGGCGTGAATGCATGGAGCAAATACAATTGTCGATCCCCAAGTGAAAACCAGCCAAGAAGGACACTCTTGGGAATCGAATAAAAAAAATACATAAACAAAAGTCTTAGCCGAATCTTCCGAGCTAACAACGATAACATCGGTATCTGTACTAGATTTGAAGAAATGACAGCAAATCACCGGTTTGAATTACAGAGTGAAACTAAAGACAATCATCAACAATCAAGGAAATTGAAAAAATGTCTCTCGTAGCCGTTGTAGGAAGCCGAAAAGGGTTTTATTTTAAGTCACTTAACCTGAACTGAAAAGCTTCTTCTACTTAAAAAAAAAATAAATAATCGTGGCAATATAATACAGTTACAGAAAGAAACAGCTTACCTTCCTCCATCGTGCTCGCTCCTGCAGGAAACTATAGTAAACATTTTACTAGAAAATTAAGATACAAGTAAAAAATTTAACATTCAGTCTGCACGGTCTGCACAGTCTGCAGTCTGCATGGTCTGCGTTTCAACATGACCGTCTCTGGAAGATAGGCTAAACCTTACCGTACCTTGTGGCACAAATTTTTTTTGGGAGTTTGTTTTTGCAGATGTAGCATGTATGTGAGGCAAGGAGTTTG